TAGACAGAGAGAGGCAGAAAGAGAGACCCACATTAAAGTGCCGCCACGGGGGGGACACACGCTGCCTTCCACTCTGGCATCCACTCACTCTCATCATTCTTTATGACATGTGCGGTTAGAGTTATGCCCTTACCCATACCCCTACCAGTTACCCCATTCTGTGGCTTGTGCGGGCATAATATTTCTCTTACTTTTTTCTTGCTTTGAGATTTGCTGATAGTTTAATTGGTCTGGACTTGATGTGGTTTTTGCGGGCCTCTGTTTGTTTTCTTTGTTATTTCTTGCTGCTGCCGATGCTACTGGTCTTTGGGGAGGCCTTAATGAAGACTTCACATGACAGCCATACATATTAATGCTATTTGATTATGCGGCCAAGTGTTGTAGATGCCAAAGAAATTCCATCAAAACTAATCTTGATCAAGCAACGCAATGAATAAACTCTTTTGACACGACACTAGTGGGAATTTCTAGGGAAAGTGCCGAGGCCAGAACATCAATATATCAAAGATTTATTAGTGATAAAACCCATCTACCACATAATAAATTACTTAAGCCTAAGAACTACATGTAATTGAGACATTTAAGACACAGCAGGGGCTTCCTCCTTTAACTAGAAATAAAAACTTTCCTTAAATTTATGCTGACAAATCTGGGAAGATATTCCCGACAAGCCATAAAAAGTGCGTATAAATCTACAAGTCCCAACACTCAATGAAATTGATTAACACTGCCATAAAAAGACACACGAATGCAGCGACAGGGCACAAATCTTGGCTAATAAAATGGTTAAAACACACAAATCAAATAAGTACAAAAATGTGTGCGTGCGTTTTTTTTATGACCCAAAGTTTTTGGCACGATCTCTAGTCTGGCGGGGCAAGTGTTGTACAGTTTTAATAGAGCCATAACATTTCAGTATAAATATAGGATTTTCGTGGATATATATTCTACATTTATGGGAGGTAAAAGTTCAACCAAAAATACAACCAAACATGTGGACAAACATTGGGAAAAACTAAAAACAAAAACATTTTCATTGTGGTTATAAATTTTGGGGGAAAAAGCAAACACAGAAAAACACACACAAAAACAAAGACGCTGATACAGCCAACAAAAAGTCATAAATAGTTTTACATTTCATTAGCTGTGCTTTGTAAGTTGCTGGAAAATTCGGGGCAACAAAATATGAAAGCTCCAAAAAATGATAAACATTTTCCTTGTTTATCCAATCAGCGCAAAAAGCGAAAAGCAACAAACAAAAGCATACACACACCTGTAATTGAACTTTGGACTCGCTTTTTGGGCATAATATTACGCAAACAATTACGGGATTCGAATGTATTTTGGACGTCACAAAAGCAGCAGCAGCAGCAGCAGCAATCAGACAGACACAATCCTCTTACCACAAATAATTCACTCAAACAACAATTCAAACAAACAGCTCGACCACTCGGCTCCGCTGGCAGACGGCATTTAATTAATGACTCTTTATCGAGAGTAAATAAATATCCAGCGATCCCCCTATCCCTCTAGAAATTTGCATAAATTGAAATAAATAAATAAAAACTAAATTAAACGGAGAGTGGAGGGAACTTATTGAATATTCAGAGTAAGAGTCGTTGATGATTTTGTTTATTGTTTAGTGCCTGATAAAGTTTACACATTTACGGAAGGGTTTACCCCTAGCCGTTTTCATTTCAGGGGGCTTTCGGATAAAGTTTACACTTTAATTTAATTTGAAATATAACCAGGGAAACCCTTGAATGGTGTTTGGGGTAAGTACGTGTGGCAGAGTTATGTTTAAAAGTTAAATGGAATGAAAGTTAGAAATATAAATGAGATATTCCCTCTGCTTGTGGCAGTTTTCCCTTAAATATTTGCTTCATTTAATATCTATTTTCCAGTATGGCTAAGCAGTAAATAGTAACAACATCCAGGGCCACAGCATACAAAATTTAAATGTCAAAAACCTTTAAAAAATCACCAGCAATTTATCAAAACCAAAAGAATACAAGTACAAGTTCAAGTGGAATATTCCTAGAATAAAATCCATCAGCGCTGTGGTAGCCGCCGAAGTAATTTATGTGCAACTTGCTCAGTGGCCATGGCCCATTAAGAGCACAAATCTGAATACACCCCCGAAAAGACGAAGCGACGCCCTCGCCATCTCTGAGTAATGGAATTCTATGTCTTCCCATCCATTGGGACACACGCAAGACATGAGTTTTCGTCGTTCTCATTCTCGTTCTCGTTTTCATTCGGATTCCCATTCCCATTCCCATTCTCGTTTTCATTTTCGCTTTCGCCACACATTTCATTAAGTATGTTGTTTCCCTCTGGCCCGGCGCGTACAACTAATTAAGCTATTTTTAACAAAATAACAAAAAAAACAATAACAGCGAATTTTTCAGAGGCACGCACTGAGCAGAGGAATGAACGTCAGCGTCGGGCATGAGGCGTGGCATGGCCACCAGTCGCAGTGTCTGGCAAGATCGCGTGCCGCTAGGGGGGAGTGTTGTTGGCTGGCAGCGGGCAATGCTGGTGGCGGGCGCAGCTGTGCTCAATTAATGTCACTTTGCTCATGATTTCGATTTGAGAGATACTCGCACGTATATTTGGCATTTATACCAAAAGCAAGCCACTCGCCAATTGCCCGAATGAACGAAACTAAAACTATGTTGGTTGAAGCGGTTAAATAGATATAATTGCTGCTAAGCAACACTGGGAAAGAGTGAGAGCGCGAAATAGAGGCGGTAGAGTCTGTTCGATTGGAAACATTTTCTTCACTTGAATCTAAATATAATTAATCTCAATGAGAAATAAGTACTTCATTTATTTTATAAATACATATCATCATATAGATGTACATACTTAGATATGTATGTACATTTGTATAGCCAAGCCCATGTTGCCTAGATCCCGAAGACCTTACGAGTAAGGATAACTTAAATTTGATCCGGTATTCTTCTGCACTTTTAATGGATAAAAAAAAGTATTGTAATTATTGTATGACTCCAAATCAAAATATTAAATATAAAAGAATTGAGTATTCAATGGAGCTGTTAATGTAGTTTCCCTTATACGCTTCCTCTCTCTATACAATCACCATTTAAGCACAATAAATATTTCTAACTAAAAAAGATATAGACAGTTGACATTGAATTCATTTGCACAAGTCACACCCACGTGGAATTCTGGCTTAACTTTTGGTAGGCGAAACGAATTTGTTTCGATTTTTTGTTTAATTAAAAGCGCCAAATTGGAATTTAAACACACACATATCTTTTCACAGCTATAGAACCCATCATATAGGCAAGGAAACACACGAGTATATGTACATAAAATTATAAAAGTGTTTTTCTCTAACGCTTTGATGGAAGCAGGCAGCGTGGATTGCATTTGGAAATTTATGATCCGTTCGAATGAATTTATATCGAAGGGGGGGCTAATATTAGAGATGATTTTCCAACGGCCCAGAGATTAATTGTGAAAATGTACATATTCACAGCCAATACTTATAGATGTGGTATCCAAAGTTGAGTTAAGACCGGTCTCTGTTTGGTCTGGCAGGGGGTGCTTTATGGGTCCCCGGGGGTAACATTTAATGTTTTCCGTTCTGTCGTCTGGGGGCTTTATTTTTATGGCCATTGAATGCACTTTACACCTCGCCCATTAAATCATTCAATATTCGTGTGGTGGAGACTGTGGGGAGAGTGGGGATTGATGGAGGTTTCTATGTAGGGGAGCAACTTATTAGTCTTACAGATTAGACAAATTTCAATCATGAGCGTGTGTCAAAGATTTATGGGTTACACTGATTACAGAGAAGTGAAAAAGACAACGATTTCCCAATCAAATTATAGCTGTGCGGGGGGAATAATCATATATGAGAGCTATGCAATCAAATGCGACAGAGGACTTCCCACTCTGATTAAAGTTTTATTATTGGACTAGTTCTCAAAGCACTTAATATTCATTTCCCTCTTATCATATTAAAGGTCTTAATGTGTGTCATTTCCTTTATTTTTCATCTTTGAACCATATTTATTATTGTATATTATTACGGTTTAAAGGTTAAATAGAGAATTTCCAATAATGTTTACAAATTTCTCAATCAAATTACAGTTTTGTATTGTTTTTTTGCGTAACCAAAAAAAGTATTAAACTTTCGAAATATATTCCACATTTGTACGTGCAATTTCACCATAATATTAGAGAACTTCCCCATCAAAATTCCACCTTATAAATCTCTTATTCTAGAGTACTTCCTCTTCAACTACAAATTCATTCCATTTCTCACACAAATTACTCAGATTTCCTCATGCATAAACCCATTTCCAATCAAAATTTATATACCATTTCCCAATTATATTACTGCGCCCTCTAAGTACAAATGATCCCACCGATGGATCTAAAATGTATTCCCCAATGAGGTCAAAAGTTCTCTAGCGTAAACATTAGCAGTATGAGAATTTCGTATTTCGAAGGCGCCAAACCCCAAAGAGATTGTAAACAAAACATTTTTGTTTTCGTTTTATAATTAAAGCCCACCGAAATAGACACAAACACACAGATGGAAAACAGTCAAAATAAAAAATATAAATTATAATAAATAAAAAACAGCTGCCTAGAGAAAAGCTAGAAACAAAATTCCAAACAAAACGCCGGAGGCTAATAAATATTTTTCGGTGAGCATTGCAAAAACGAGTTTCAACCCAAAAACGAGACAACAAAAAATCAGTCAATAATAATTTCAATAAAAATGCAAACAACCAATATATAAATTATTAAATTTCAGCGGTTTTTTTCGGTGAAGGAGGGGGGAATGGAGAATCTCATTTGCATTGGCGCCAAAGGCAGAGAGGAACAGAGCAGAATACAAGAGAAACCAGCAAACAGAGAAGAGAAATTTATGTTATGCCGATGAAGTAGGAATTAATTATAAGGATACATACAATAAATGTGTGTTGAGGAGGGGTGATTAGAAGGACAAATCTTACCTGATCTTGACAAAAGTATCCAAAACCAATGATGCCTGCGATGGCGAGGAATAAACAAAATACAATGATTTTTCGTATTTTGGAGCGTGGTTCCATTTTCTTGATTTCATAAACACCGCTGGGTAGCAATAAGGCAAAATCACTATCAACTTGTACTGAAACGTTCTTATGCATATCCCCGGGATGCATGTTCCATTACCCAAAGGATCCCAAGCGAACACAGTGCAGAATAAGAGCTAGGACATCGATGAAAAGATTCGAATCGAATCCAAGCGGTTATCGGAGAGCCGCAACCTCACACAAATCGATGGGGAGACCCACTCAAACATAGTTCCTCTCGCTGCGCTATAAGAACTCGAATAAAAACAGTCCTAAAATCGTGCCTCGTCCATACAAATGGTGGATTTTCTTGTGTATTTCAGTAGAGCTGCAAAGAGAGTAAAGTAAATTAGAAATTAGTTGGAAATACTCATATAAAATCAGAGAAGTGCTTCACAAGCAATCCATTATAGTGTCTCGCTTCTTATCGGACAAATTCCGACACCGGCGGCAGTAGGTTACATTTTTTCTTTATAAAACAAACAAAAATAAATCAACTAAATCTCACACCAAAAAAATACTTCAAGCGATAAGAATTTCTATAATTATAATTACAAAACTATACAAATTTGTCTTTCTATGCTAGATTTCCACAATAATTAAGTTATATACATTTGTCTGACGTTTTTATGGCTCGTTTTTAATTGAAAAATCACTGGAAAAAAATATTGATGAGAAGGCGTTTTGTAGATTTGCGATGCGATTGGAAAAAGCTAAATAAGAAAAACGAAACTGTGCCTCATTTGTGTGGGAAATCTCTGATACATGTACAGCAAAAAGATAAAGGCCATAAATCAAGAATTATGATGGGGAAATAAAAGAAAAACTCATATGCCTGAGCGCAGAGAATTTTGAATGCCCTGAAGAATGACAAAAAGGAATTAGGGAACTGAAGTAACATATCGGTATCTGTCTTTCTCTGCTTAAAAGAACGGCTTGAGGTTAGTAATCTGTTTGCTGCTTAAGAGCTAATTTTACAGATGAAATCTAGAAGAAAACTGCTTAATTATGGAAGGAACAATTCTCTCGCTCTCTTGGAAGTTCATATTACTGCTTTTAGTTTACATACAACCTATACATTACAGAAATAATCAGAGAATATCTCTCATTGCATGCCAACGCCAATCCCATAGTTGCTCGACTCTCTCCTAAGGGAAGTGTAACAAATATAAACACGCAGAGGCAGCAGTCAGAAGGCGTCAGACGCCAACTGGCCCGACTCGCCGGCTAAGCAGTCTGTTTGACGCCCAAACGGAAAACACTTCCCCACTGCTTACTTTAGGCACTGACACATGTAGGACGGTCCAGTTCCTGCTGCTGTGCATTGGCTCATCGCGGGATATTGGTCGAAATACATTGCAATTTGTAATTTATAAACAAATGGTGGCCAAAACACCGATAGCACTGCAGATGTCAATGGATGGCAACAAAGCTAGTTTCATGACAGCAGTGCCACATGGTGCAGGCTGTGGACACATGGTGCATGCCTCCTATAAGGCAATAAGTGCTATGCTCACCAGCCAGATGCGAGGCTAATGGAGTGGCCAACACACGCGCCCACACAGATTGTTTAGCTACTAGCCAGCTTTGAAGGCAGAACTTAGCCTCGTGTGACGTCAAAAGGCAATGGTAAAGAGAATAATAATAGAATTAGGCAATTCCTCATCAGTTTAGTGTAGAAATAACAAATAAACGAAGGGAAATGTTTATCTTTCTGCAACAAAAACAAAGCAGTAGAAAAGGAGCAACGTTTGATAATAAGAAGGTGGGGTAATCTCTGATGCACTCTCTCAGATCACAGGATCATGGAATAACCGGCAACACAGTGCACCGCAACCGGTCTTTTTGCGTCTTATTTTTGGGGGCTCCAGTAGGAACTTAACTAGCTAAGTATAACCTTTTAAACATGTCACAAAGAGATCAAAAGATCTGGAGAGACACAGAAACCAGGAATCCCACAGAGCGGGACTGTCGCACGTCACACCTTCCACTAAATATACCCTGAACGCACAGAAACAAAACAGCTGTTCGACTTCCGATGGTCAAACGCAAATTTGGCAATTTGTACACAATTTACTTACTTTTAAGGGCCGGGCGCAGACTTTTCTTAACTATTCACATTTGTTAGTACTCTGCACGTTTATTTATTTACATTTTTGTGTATTTGTGCGTTTCCACGCGCCTTTAGCGCGCCTTCTGTCTTTCTACGCGCATTCTGCGAGACAGTCGGACGGGAAACACGACAAACGGCTCTTTAATCACGTAAATATCTTTGATATTCGTTTCCAATTGTTTTCCACTCACTCTAAACTATTAGTTAGCATTTATTAGAATTTTTCTAGTGTGTTTCGTGTATTAATTACGAGTTTTTAGACGAAAACAACGCGGAGCAGCGACACAACATCCGTTGTGTTGTAAAATCGGCGAACGAATGCACATAACGGAACAGGGAAAACACCACACGAATGAGACACACAAAACGGAACGGGGAAAACAGCAAGCTAAACAGCTGGTTCGGGCTGCCAGACACATCTTTTTCTAAACGTCTGTCAGCGCTGCCAAAAGTCCAGTTGGTGTTTAATATGGTTGGCTTTTTTGCAATTTGAATCAAACTGTTGCCAGTTTTTGCAAATATCGAAGGCCAGCAGGTTGTGAAACTCATTTGAGCGAGAGTGCTCACTTTTGCGTTAAGTAGGAGAGCGGGTTGTTTTTCTCCCGATCTGGCAGCGCTGCCACATACTTTTCGATAACTAAAGTCACATAATTGCAAGAGTAACGACTCTTTTTCGATTTATCTGGTAATACTACCAGCGACGAGCGTATAAATTGGAATAAAAGTGCACTATTTATCATAATTCGTTTATTTTATTAGTACGTATCAAATATAATTGAAACTCAATTAATTTATCGCTAATATTAATCACAGACCACAAGCCCAGCCCCCGGATCAGACATAATCTAATTACCCCCACCGCCGGAGGAGGAAGCGCTGGCATTTCCAGCACTGGCCGCAAACAGCTTCCTCAGATTCTGCAGGATGCCCCACAGCACAGTGCCCGCCGACCCAAGAGTCTCCAGCACATCGAATCCGGTGCTGTCGATGGCCGTCTCACGGTCCTCCTCCGTCTCGATGGCCGGCGAGCTAATATTGCCGCCACTATGGGGCGCGTGGTGCACGCCATGGTGGCCGATCAGGCGATGCGAGTTGGTGCGCACATGCGTATCGTTGACGCCGCCACCGCCGACGGCATTTATCAGATGCTTCACCGGCTCCAGCACGGGAATGGCCAGCTTAATGCGATTCCAGTTATCGCCGGACTCTGTGGCACCCTCGTGCTGCTCACTGGCCGTCTCTAGGTTCACTTCATCCAGAGTATTGCGCTCACTGACCGGCTCATCGTCCGTCTCCAGGGTCAGCTCCAGGCTCTTGTTACCGCCGCCGGGCAGCAGCAGCAGACTGCCAAACAGCTGCCGCACATGCGCGGAATTCGTGGCCTCCGCCTCGTTCTGCTCAAAGTCGAACTCCTCGCGCGCTCCGGCTGTTCGTTTCTGGTTCACATAGCTGGCCACGTGCAGCATGCCATTGCTGGGAGTCGTCGAGGGAGTGGGAGTGGTAGAGGGAGTCATCTTGCCGCTCGCTGGCTTTCCGGACGTCGTCGTCGTCGTCAGCAGCAGCAACAGCACGAACTGTACGACACACAGGAGCAGACATGGAAATATTAATTGGCGCCTAATGACGATCCATAAATGTATGAATATTGAATATGATCAAGGTAATGAGGCATTCTATATGCTCCACGCAGCTTCTCAAACTTTTGCAAAACAGACGGAGACGGAGACCTTGAAATGGTTCTGACAAAACTGCAAATTATTGAAAGATTCATGGAGTAAGTGTGGAATGATCAGAAATATTTTTCATCCCAAAAAACTTCACAGAAAATCTTTGTGGCGAAACTGTGCCAAGAATTGGCATTCCATACTGCTGCATAGATCAAAGTTCTAGGCTAAGAAGAGCCAAAAGAAACTATGGGAATAGAAAAATATACTTTGAAATGGATCACATAGAATTGCAAAGAATGGAGGTGCTCTAAAGTAGTGCAGGAACTCCACAGAGCAAGAGAAAGATCTACTTTAATAAGCTTCAAAGTACTAAAATGAATACAGAATTGTCAAGTTTTGTTATCCTCAATCCTTGACCCATGTGTTGTACACAGTGGAAGGTCTCTTTAGTGATAATTCAAAAAGCTGCCGGAACCTGCATTTCCTTTTTGACCTTCAAGCCTCGTTGCTTACATGCAGAAATACCAAAAAACATATGGAACTATATGTGGAACTTGACAATCGCGACATTATGTCAATGGGGGAATTCACAGACTGGCTATAAAAATTGTCTAGCAAATGCAAAAAAACGAAACTGAAACTGAAACCGAAACCGCTGCCAGCAAACGCACAAATTGAACTAATCGAACGGATCGGGTCCAATCGGTCGCTCTGACTGGGTAACCAACAAAACAGGTGAGTGAGTGGGTGACGACGCAGGGGCCACCTTGCTCGGTCAATCACCAATTAATATGCAGCAAATGTCCAAGCAATTGTTTGTGCCCAAATTTAATTCGATATGCATTTAGAGGGCCAGCAAATAAGTTGAGTTCTATGAGGTACGAGACATCTGTCTCTCTCGGCCTCTCTTTGTCTATGTCTCCATGTCTTTAAGAGAGCTATGGACCCAACCCATTGAGCTTATGAAATCAAAGGGAAATTGCAAGGTTTTGCAGGGTATTCACATCGTGGAGAAATCCTAAGAAAGTTTAGGAACAAATAAAGGCATAATTCATGACTGAAAAGGTTGAATATAGAAGAATATTTAATTTTTAAGCACAAATTTACATTCCAGAATATAAATTTAAAGCGAATATGCCACGAAATATCCCACCCATAAAAGTATTTCAGCCCCAAATATTTCATCAACATTTAAATTTCCATCCAAAGATGCGATCCCACCCGCTGTGTCATCATTCGATTAAGCCACTCGCTGAGACACTTGCCCTAAAAATAATATCCCCCATATAAATTCATACTTCATCACTACTTCTCATCAACGCAGGCGTCCCACAAGGAAGCGTATTGGGACCAATTCTCTACACCCTATATATATATATTACAAGCAACTGCACTGTTGCAACATATGCTGATGATACAGCCGTTTTAGCCACAAGCACATCTATAAATGAAGCTTCCAAACTCCTGCAGAGTGAGCTAAGCCTAATTGGAGACTGGTTCCTTCGATGGAAAATTAGAATCAACTCCCTGAAATCAGTCCAAATAACGTTTCCGTTAAGACCAGGTAACTGCCCAAATGTTACACTTAACGGCTCACCAATTCCACAAAGTACCTGTGTGAAGTATCTCGGCTTGCATCCCGACCGCAGATTAACATGGAAAAACCACATTAAAGCAAAATGTCAACAACTTAGACTTAAAACACTAAAAATGTCCTGGTTGATAAGTCGAAAATCGGAAACCACTTTGGAAAACAAAATTCGCCTCTACAAATCCATACTGACGCCTGTTTGGACCTACGCCATTCAGCTCTGGGGGACTGCTACCAACTAAAATATTGAGATACTTCAGCATTACCAATCAAAAACTTTCCGACACATTGTCAATGTTCCGTTTTATGTATCTAATGCAAATATCCACAAAGATCTTAATATTCCACCAATTAAAGAAGAAATAAAGAAAACTAGTAAGAAATACATTGACAGACTCCACAACCACGAAAATAATTTAGCCTTAAGTCTATTCGACAATAGCTTAACAGTAGGAAGACTGAAAAGATACCACATGTCGATCACCCCGATAGATAAATCCAACAAACTGAAAAGATGTTATATATAATATCAGGGCTCATTGGAAAACTGATATTAATGTTAATTTAATATTAATTATACAATTTACTTATTGTTTAAACAGACAGAATGTAAATAAAAAGAGAGAGAAAAAAAACTAATCAAACAGATTAAAACAAAATGTTTACCCACAGCGCCTACTATTTTAGTATGATTTTATTTCAATGATCGCCACCTTTATGTCACATGTCAAATGTTCCCTCAAATATTTCAGTTTTAGCATTACTTTTCCAGAGAACACAACTCTTTATTTTAAACAAATATTTTAAATTCCAAATTAGTTCATTCGTTTCTTTTGATTCGCTTTTATATTCTTTTATGAGTACCAAAAGTCTTCAGTAAATAATGCGACTGTATTGCAAGATGTCGCACATATTAAATGTGAGTAGTAACACCAGCGATAAATGATATTGGGATTTAAACACTTGTAAACAACGAAAAGTACAAATTAACACAACTTCTATGGGTTGACTGACCTCTACGATATCTCATAATGATATATAATAACGTCTGCCGGCTTGTACTTACGTGGGGTAGATGCAAGTCCGATCTGTTATTAGATAAGAACGAGAAGGGGCGTGTGAGACGCTTCGTACGCGTCACAACTTTTATACCCGGCACTCAGGACTACATCTAGATGTAGAAGACATCGCCAACCACTAGGTATCGTTCACATTACAGAACACGTAGTAAAAAGCCTACTAAATAAAATGCATCAAAAAAATTGGATCAGTTAATCTTATTTTCCAATTTATGAGATATTTAAAACAGCAATAAAATTTGTACTTTTTCCCTGCACATTCTGTGCAATAATGACCGCTAGGTTTCACAGCAGATTTTTCGAAGATGGTCGAAAAACTGGTCATTGGTTTTGTCAAATTTTAAATTTTTCCTTCAACTGTCATCTACATCTAAAACACTTCTCACACTAACACGCTCCGTTAGCTCGCCGCCCTTGCCGAGACCCACACACTGCAGACTCGCGGCAAAAAAAATATAAGCTGAGGGACGGGGTGGGATAAAAGTCGTCAGAGGCAGAGGGACGGCAGAGGCAGGGGCCGAGTGAAGCAGAAGCAGAGTGTGAATGAAAGAATGTGAAAAGAACAAAAAAAGCTGCGGGAGGGGGTCGGTTTAGCCACTGCAAATTAATTTCTTCATTCTGGCTATAATAATTATCCAATCGAATCCAAATTTGGTGATCTGATAGATATGGCCATTTCCTACGGAATGGCGTTTTAGTTTTCTTTTATCTTCAAAATTGTAGATTTGGGAGGTTTTCGCCCTTTTGCGGGGGCGGAAGGGGGTGTGCCTCTTTTTGAAATACACTGGTTTCAGTGTGAGCATACAGCAGATTATTTTTTTTTAATTTCTGGACGTTGATATGCAATGACTGCACCATCAAGTGGCCCATGCGACACCAAGCCAAAGCCTGTTACGCGCGGAGCCAAAATTTGGTGGCTCTAGCTCTTATAGTCTCTGAGAACTAGCCGACAAACAAGACGGACAGACGGACAGACGGACCGACGGACA